CTATAACATAACAATTATATTTTCTTTAAGCGACTTTGGACAAATAATCATCATAAATAATTAAAACTGTTTTCGGTTGTCATTATTAATGTTGGAAATCATCCGTAATGATAATTTATGATCAAAAACAATTTCCGACATCGATAATGATTATTCGTAACTAAAAACAATTTAAACTGTTATTTTTGGTCTTTGCTAATAAATAATTGTTGAATATAATATATTGAAATTAATGAATGTATTTAAATGCACGCATATTATGTCATACATGTCATCCTCCTTCCTGATAATTAGATTCGAATTAGAACAAAGTGAGTGATACTCACCGAAATATCCAGCATTTCTCCGTACTCGTCAACGCACTTGAAGAATTTGCCGCCGAAAAACTGGACACCCATTATCGAAAAAATAAGCCAGAACACGAGACAGACGAGGAGCACGTTGAATATACTAGGTATCGCATACATCAACGCGTTCACTACGATCTGCGAGCCGGGAAGAAAAATCTTCTCACAATCAGTGAATAACGCAATAATCGCGTTCACATATTCTATCGTTTATGTTTCAAACGAATTTTCATAGATTGAGTTTTTGTCTGCAATATATTTACCCTCATGCCTTGCCATCTTGAAATCGCCCTTAGCGGCCTCAGGGCGCGTAGTGTCCTCAGTGATCGTAACACTTTAAGGTTTTCATTTTCTTCTATTAAAAGGCTAAACATGGATACCTGTGTTTGAGGAAAACGTAATAATTTAGATCTCAATATAGCTCATTAAATTTAAATAAAGAAATTCATGCAATTAAATTCTCAGGTTCTGATAAAGTAATTTGAAAATATATTTGTATTTGATATTTGCGTATGACAATGTATCGACGAAAGAAGAAAAAAGTTAGAAGTCAATTATTTTTAAGAATAATCTAATAATTGTTATAAATATAATTGAACGAGTGTTCTAAAAAACATATTGAGAATAGAGATAAGTATAGATATAGAATATTAAAATAAAGTTTTTTGTCTGTCATTACTGATTTTTAATTTAAATACTCCGGAAATTTTTTGTATACACTGTGCAATTACGGATAATATTAAGTAATGAAGTTCTTTTATAAGGAATTATAAAGAATAAATTGTGTAGGAAATTAAATTTTCAAGCTATGTTAATTAAACAAGCAAATGTGCAAATTACATAAAGAGAATAAAACTTTCATTCCTTTTGTATTTCTGCCATATGTAAATCCTTGTATTATAAAGCGTGCAGCGGCATATTTAAAAACCGTAATATAATATTGATTTATTTTTATGACAATTAAGAAATAAAGGTTAAACAGTCAAGCTGGATTTTAATGCTGGAAACAATCCGTGTGAATTAATATATCACAATTACAATTTTGTAAACTGCACACCAAAATTATTTTTAATGCGAATTGCAATCTTGAAATGCAATCAAAATTAGAGTAGTAATATTAAATTAAATTGACACGCAATTTAATAATATTGATTGATGCCCATAGGCATCTTTATAAGTATCTCAAAATTTATAATTAATTTTAAGGTAGGTATATTTGTTGATTTAATTTGTGAGTTTTATTCTAGTTTTGGAATTAGAATTGTGATATATAAATTCACATGAATTGTTTTCAGTATTAAGGTCCAGCTTGATCGCTTAGCTTTTATTTCTTAATTGTTTGTGTTGTTTACATCGCGATCTTTAAAGCAATACTTTTTTATTATTATTATATTGACGTTATTTTTATTATACCTTTATTATATAATATGATATTATATATAATATGATATTGAAGTACCATATTAGACCGCGATATGAATACAAAACAGTTAAGGAATAAAGGCTAAATGATCAAGCTTGGATCTTTAATGCTGAAACAATTCCATGTGAATTTATATACCACCTATCCAATCCTGCAAATTGCGCGTCGAATTTATTTTTAGACCTGACTAGGAATTCTAACAGAATTAGAGTACTAATATTATAAATAGTTTAGTCTTTATTTCTTCTACTGTTTGTTCATATCGTAGTTTAATGTAATAATGTTTTAATAATATTGTTTATACACGCGGTATTTAAAATGCGTACTTTCTATATATATATATA